AGTCTCTCTTGCTCCTTCAGTTGCAAGAATTTTGACCACATGCTTGGCGCATGAGAATCAGATATGTACACAATTGGACCATCTTGTTGCCTGTTTAAGATATCCTCCACTTCGTCGCTGCTGACCTGTGATGAATTCAGTTTGTTAATTTCTCGTAACAATAGAAGTCGCCATAGATAAGTGAAATAGTTGCAATAAAGCAAGTAAATTAGCTTACATTAAAAGCATTTGAAGTGTTTCGTGGCCGAATCCAGTAGATAGACGTGGGATATGATCCTCCACCGATGAAGAAAGACTGCGGATTACAGAAAAAAGTATCAGAACTTCTGAATGAGCAAATTAATTCGGACAAATTATACTGTTATTGTGATTATTGAACTTATACTAAGTAAATTTCAAGTACTGGAAAGCTCTCAATCCCAAATCTCAGATGGGTCAATGCTGCAAATGATATGAAGCTTCTGTCCCTCCCCGTGTTCACCAAATAGAATGCTGAACGGCCGGAATACGGAACACGTCACCAACCTTCAATGTCTTTTCCACCAGGTCATCTTTGTAGATGCATCCAACTCTGGCTTCCCCTGCAACCAATTCACATGTATATCACACAGCTGCCATCATTAGTACTTTTTAGCCTTTTCTTAGCTGAAAGGAGGTAAAATAGAGAATGTTGCATACCTCTGCGAACGAAGAGGATCAATTTGAGTCAATATACTGAGGAATGAGAGACTCTTGGGCTCCATAGAAACGAACCCAATATGCATCGGCCTGTCCACAATTCTTCCTCCAACACTAGTTATGACACGCACATCACCAGCCTCAGTCTTCACTACACGTTTTGCGTCTTGCAACAAAACCTTTCCTCTCCACGACCTGATCTTTCATCTTTCTTCTTCTCACCACCCTCTCCTCTCTCTCCCATTCTCTTTCCGGCTTCAATCTTCATCCTCATCTTATCTCTATACCCCATTGTCATGGTCAGCGCATGACTGAAAACCAGCAAACAGCAAAAAGTGACCAGATTTCTCATAGCTTCGCAGTTTGATTTGATGATGATGAGATTGTGTTTGTGCTGGAAATGCAAAAGTGGTAGGTGTTTTAAAGAAAGAAGGAGAAGAGTAGACAGAGATACGTGTCTTTCATGCAGAGTTTGTGGGATTGGTGGCAGATTTTGTTTAGACACAGTTGAGTTCTGGTGAGAAAATTCGATCAGTTTGTGACAAAGTCTTGCTGGAAGACCATCGTTTTCTCTTCTTTGGAATTTTGTATCTAGTTTTAGTTATTACGTTCATAATCTGCCTAAGTCCTAAAATCCTTTTAACAGAACGGATAATATTTAATAATATTTGTTTACTTTACTTACATTATCTGAAAATATCGGTAATGTTTTTTTTTTTTTATCAGTGAGGGGTCCAAACTATTTGTACGCATAAAATAAAAAATAAAATAAAATAAAATAATGTAATGTAATACACACTCATGTGATTACTCGGATGATCTTCATACGGACGCCAATCATCACTATAAATTCGTAAATCTTAATTTTCCTTACAACAACACTATGGACACCGTAAAAAATTACACCGAATTGTGTATTGGCCTACGTGTATTAGTCGTTGGAATTTTTTTTCAATTCTTTTCTAGTGAACGGCGTTCACTCACATGGACCCCCGTCCATATTATATGAGGGGGGCATATACTAGGGACGGACGGCCCATTTAAAGGACGCTGTCCCTGAATAAAATAACAATAAATTTTTTATAAATATTAGGGACGGCCGTTCATCCGTTTGGACGGCCGCCTTCATTTTGGACGGGCGTCCGCTTAACCAAAATATGAAAAATAAAAAAAGAAAAACTTTAGGGACGGGTCGTCCAACGTACGTTTTAAAAAAAAAAAATTTCTTAAAATAACTCTTCTTCTTCGTCCCTAGCTTTTGGTTTTTGATTCTGCACTGCATTTTATCGATACCCAGTAAGCTTTTCTGTTTTGTACACTTTTTCTGTGTTACTTTCATCTTTTGAGCTTTATTGTCTGGTTTCTGTGACAGAAGAGGAGAAACTTTAGGACATGGAGGGAAACAATGGAGTGCTAATGAAGGAAAATAAAGAACACCCCACAAATTCTGGAGAGGTTTTCACCTGACAGAGAAAATCAAAGCAAAGCCAACAGTCCAATTCAGAATCTCTTCATGAACCAGACCTCAATCTTAACTCTTTTTGGGAATTAACTTCGAGGGTGAGAACTCGCTAACAAGGTCGTTTCAGTGGCTGGATTCATGACTCGAGAAAGGACTCTGGGGAAGGTGAGAGAAGGTTTTTTCATTGGAGAGTTCTTGTCTCTGCCGGCTGAGAGAGAGCAAAGGAGAGGCTTATAAATATGAGGGAGTTGCAGGCAACGAGGAGAATTCAGGCGAAGAACAGGCTTCTGGAGAGGCAGAGGATAAGCAGGAAAATAAGAAGAAAGAAAAGTCTAAGCTTCCTGCAGGAGCCAAGCTCCTTTGCCCCAGTGAAATGGCTACTTGGGCCGCGACTTCGCCGGCAAAGGGCCCCTCTATATCAAGCTGAAGTTTTGTGAAGCCAAAAACGGAGCCGTTTCACTTGAGTCAAAACGGGGTGTTTTGTTTAAAGCATTACCAAGTTTCAGCCATCAGATCAAGACAGATCCAAGGGCTGAGAACTGCTGAGACTTAGTATATAAAGAAGCCCAACAGTGACACTTAAAGGAAAAGCGTATTTTTGTTAATCAGAGCATTAGGGTTACAAAAGGGGGAATACACTCGTGAGGTTTTCCTTCTGTTGAATCTTTCTGGGTTAGTGTTTGAGTGAGAGAGGGTTGAGTTTCCTTCTAGAGGCTGGTTTGTCCTCTGTTCTTGCAGATTGTAGAGAGGTTCTGGAGTGATTAGGCCGTAGTGGGTGGTAGTTGTTTGAGGCAGACTTGTAACTGTTTTCTTCTTGTTTCTTAACTGTCTCATTAGTGCAGTGGGCTTCCAGAGTTTCGGAGCCAACGGGGATGTAGTCTATCCAAGAGTGATAGACGAACCACGGTAAATTGTGCTTGTGTATTGTGTGTGTTTTCTTGATCTTTAAGTTGGTGTTGTTGTGTGCGGATTGTTTCTAGGCTTAGGTTATAACAGTGGTATCAGAGCTAGAAAGTTCTAAGGGGATTTAGGGTTAGAAATCGTTTGGACTTTCGTACAAATTCTAAAATAGGGTTTGTCAGATTTGGGGGTTTTTCGATTTCAAGATCCTGGATCGTTAGACTTCAGATCTTGCTAAGTCTTGGGGGTTAAATTCGTGAGATTGAGTTACCGGCACAGGAATCGAGAACTTTGTACAAATCCTAAAATTAGGGTTTGTCAGATTTGGGGGTTTTCGGATTAAAGGCTTATAGTGCCTTAGGGTTTTCGAAATTAGTCTTGAATCAGGTCGTATTGTTGGTTGGGTCACAAACACGAGTCAAGGGAAAAAGGTCTAGGTCTTGTCTAAGGGTGTTTAGGCTGGAAACACCAGTAACTGCCTTAAAAACTGCTTGGCAGTAATTGGCGAATTCTGGTATAACAACGCCAAGTACCCTTTGACGGTGTTTAGCCGTGTTAGTCTTGTCACTTTAGTCCTGGTTGTGTTCTGCATTGTGTGATACTGTTTAAGGGTGTTTAGGCTGGAACACCAGTAACTGCCTTAAAAACTGCCTGGCAGTAATGGGAATTCTGGTATAACAACGCCACGTACCCTGACTGTTCTGTTTGCCACTAAAATTTATGAGTACTACTCGTATGGGAATCTCCAATGATGGGAAGATCGACTTTAATACATGGAAAAAAAAAGATGAAGCCTTCTTTCGCATAATAAAGTGGGCTTGCTTTAGAAAGAGATGCCTCTAAGTGGTCTGAAGAGAAACTGAAAAAAAGGCTGAAGTGGATGAGGAGGCTACAATCTTATCATAATGAATCGTCCGATGAGTCCTGCGAAAGGTTGATGGCATGGAAACACCGCTCACACTTTGGGGTAAACTCGAATCCCTTTATTCCTTACAGTCTGCACCTAACTTAGCATTTCTGAAAGGAGCCCTATTTTCGTATGATGGATGTTACAAGTCTGTAGAAGAACACCTTGATGAGTTTCTTTAAGATGACATTAGTATTGAAAAGCACAGATCGGAGTTGGGGAGACTCCAGTCTGGCAATGATATTGTAAATTCACTACCTGATGAGTACTTGGTGGTGAAGAATGTCTACAATACACTGGGACAGTTCCCAGTGTTGACCTGATCATAGCAGGTCTTAAATCTAGGGAGTTGGAGTTGAAGATACAGAAAAGGAAGGAAAAATCTGTTTGTCAAAGGTAGATCAAATCCAGGACAATCAGGAAAGGTAGCAATAAGATCTTTCAACAACACATAAACCCTAGGGCTAAGAAAAGGGGAAGAATAACAAGTCTAAGGAGAAGAAACTAGGAAGTGCTTCCAGTAATAAACCCGGCCACCTTAAGAAGAACTGTATGATTGGATAAAGAAACAAAAATAGCAAAATACAGAAAGTAACCTAGCTAGCACTAGCATGGCATTGAAGTTTCAGAGCCACTATCTCAAACTATGCTAGCAGTAAGGAATGGGTCCTAGATTCAGGGTGCACGTTTCATATGAGTCCTAACATCCAGTGGTTCCAGAACTTTAAGAAGGGAGAGTTAGAAACTGTCTTCATGGGCAATAATCACTCTTGTAAGGTTCAAGGCATAGGAAACATAACCATTAGGTTGAACAATGGCAAAATCATAATGTAACCAAAGTGAGGTATATACCGACCTAAAAGAAACCTGGTCTCCTTGGGAAACTTTGGATGAAGCTGGATGTAGTTATAAGGCAAGAAAAGGATCCATAGTGGTGTACAAGATAATGAAATACTACTTGAAGGGGTCAAACAAAATGGGTCTACATTCTGTGTGGTCAACAGTGTGCACATGTAAAGTCTGCACCACCACCACAATCTGACGCGCAGAGAAATGGCATCTGAGACTTGGCCAATAGGCCAAAAAGGTATGACAGTGCTAAGCCAACATGGGTACTTTGGTAAGGAATCAATATCTGATTTAACTTTCTGTGAGGTGTGTGTGTTAGGAAAACAGCACAGAATGAGTTTCCAAAAGGGGACTCACCTGGCTGAAAAAGGGTTAGACTATATTCATGCAGACCGTGGGGTCCTGAAAGGGTTAGGACACAGGAGGAAATGTTATTTCCTCTCCATTGTGGATGACTATAGCAGAAAGGTATGGGTGTACCTACTTAGGTCCAAAGATGAAGCCTTAACCAAGTTTAAAGGCTGGAAAAACTTGGTTGAAACAAATTAATATTTTTCTATTTATCTGACATGTCGTTTTCTTTCAACGGTTGTTTTTTCATATCAATAAAAGCCCTAATATTTTGAAAATATCAAAAGACATATATTGCCATTTTGTGGACTTAAGTGATATTTATCATACAAAATTTTTATTCGTCTAGCATGTTGTTTTAGGAGTGAGCACGGATAGCGAATAGACTGGAACCGACAGGTAAAACCGGAACCGGAATCTACCCGAACTGACAATTTACGAGTAGGTTTCGGTTCTATATGTGCAGGAACGGAACTGGTGATGGGAATCGAAAACGGGTACCCTGGTGGGTACTTAAAACCGAGTCTGGGTACCCAAATAGGAACTTGTTTGGAACCTAGATTTAAATGAAAATCAGTAAAGAATTGGGAGTCTTTATATTTTACATATAAAAATTTAAAATGGCCAAAAAGGATGAAATGTTATATAAAAATTATAGTGTAACAAAAACAATAACCTAATCAAAATAAACAATAATTATACATATATACTTCTCATATAAAAAACTTAATACATGATAATAACTTAATCAAATTATAATTAAAATATTACATATAAAAAACTAATATATCATATAATAAAGGTTTGATTAATTAAGTAATAAATTATAAGTGGTTAGGATCCAATTAAAAGCGTTTTAATATTATTGAAAGAATTATTTTTGAATAAAATAATATATTTGATTGAATAATATTTAATTATTTACTTAATTATCAAGTTTTAAGATATCTATAGTAAATATAAAAATTGATAAACATTAGTACTTACTAGTTAAATGATTACCTAATTATAATTATTATAACATTAAATTATAAATATGAGTAATTTACTACATTAATACATTACTTAATTGAATGATTAAAATTTAATTAATTATTATATTACATTATTACTTAACTAATATAAAATTACATTATGTTAAATGATTAGCTAATTATTGTAACATTACATTATAAACATTAGTAATTTACTAATTAGTACATACTTAATTAAATGATAAAAATTAATTAATTATAACATTACGTTATAGTACTTAACTAATTATAAAATTATATTATACTTAAATGATTAGCTAATTAATTATAATATTTATATAAACATTAGTAATTTACTATATAATACATTACTTAATTAAATGATTAGAAATTAATAATTATAACATTATATTATAGATTTTTAATTAATATAAAATTACATTCTAAAAATTAGTAATTTACTAAATTATTATATTACTAATTAAATGATTAGATATTATAGTATGGCAACTTCTGTCTCATGAGTCACGATATATTAAAAATCATTAAACAAACTTAAAGTCAGATCATCTAATTATTATTTAAAGATCATAAATCATATAATATTAATATTAATTTTATTCTTTTGTTACAAATTCACAATTAATGTTAATTAACTTTATTTTCACTCTAGAATTATAATATTATATATATTTATATTTTGGATAATAAAGTTTACTAAAATTAATTCCCAAAATTAATTCCATAACTATACTTTGTAAAATATATATATTTATAATTTTAAGGTTTTCTTAATTTGCCAGGGGTGTATTTGTCAAATTTTAAGGTGTGTTGTCATTTTTTAACTAATAGGGGGTAACTATTTTTTAGAAGGTAGAGTAAGGAACCGGAACCTGCATTTCAAGTTCAGTTCCAAGAACAAAGAACCGGAATTGACAGTTTCTAGTTCGGTTCCTTTTCCTAGGAACCTACAGGTTCCGATTTCGGTTCCATTCTCCCAAAAAAGCGGGGTACCCAAAACCGCTCACTCTAGTTGTTTGTCATAAAAGTGACATGTCATCCATAGACATGTCATTCTTCGGATGATGAATCTCACTTGAACCCATTGTAGATGTGTGAATATCTAATAAACCCCTAATAGGCTAACCTCACCTTCTGGAATAGATTGATATTTACCATTAACTTTTTAAATGCATTGATATTCCATGGGTTCGCAGAAAGCGTAATTATGTTTTCTCAAACCAAACATGGAAGGATTATTTTTATTTTGATGAAACAAAAGAAAACGCACCACTCTTTCTTTGGTTATCTTTACATTTTCAGCAAACAAACGGACTGGAAAAAATTCCAAATCAAACACAACCAAGATATAAATAGACAGAGAAAAAAATTAAATATGTTACGCCTGGGAAATCAAGGGCTGACGTGGGAAATCACGTGATGGGGTATGACCGCTCCCGTTAGAACGGTAAGCACACGTCAGGCCTGCCAGACGCTATGGAGCTCCCCACATGTCCTTTCCCTGCTCCAAATCGCGTGAAATCAGCTTGGAAGGTGGGCAATGTGACGTGAAGCCGGATTTTGTCATGCATTCACACCAACCCATGGATTTAATGATGATTACTTGCACTCATCTCACTATAAAAGAGGAAGACCCCTTCATTAAGGGGATTCAACCATTTTACCTTCTAACTAGCTTTCTCTCTCTGTACCTTTGTATTTATATTTCCCTAATCATTTGTAAGTCAGTCCGCTGTGCGACCTGACCCACAATACTAATACAAATATCAGTGGACGTAGGACTTGCTACCTTAGCATCCGAACCACTTTAAAAAGCTCTAATTGCATTTACTCTACATTTTATCATAATCACGTGGTCTCTTGACCAATCAACGTTACGCATGTGTCGATTAGTTGGTGTCAAAAATCACGCATCAACAATTTGGCGCTAGAAGGAAGGCCCAGATTTAGTGTATCCTTCATCAGGAGAATCTCTAACCTATTGGTCCTACAACAAAATGGCCGCCAATCTGTACCTGAGCAAGCCAACCAGCGCGCTAAGGGAGTTCCCCTGACCCAAGGGGTAATTCTTCCAGAATACTTCCAGCCTACAAAAGCTGCAGTGGATATCCCAGCAGCTTCGCAGCTTGACCCCACCATCAGAAGCTACTAGAGAGGTCGACAATAATCTCCAGACGGTCAACCAAAGGCTGGACCGTCGGACCAAGGCGTGCCATCTAGAACAGTTAGGGCAGTGCAACCGTAAAACACGCCTGCAGGTCGCGCGAAAGGCGGCAAAGGGAAATAGCCTGTGCCGCGAGCACTGCAGCGCGTAGACGTAAGGGTAAGCAAGTGGCAAAAAGCAAGCCTACGGGCTCTAAAGGGCCAGCGAACACAAACCGTGCCCTAAGCGGGGTCGGCAAAGGTGAGACTGGCGGAAAGGTAATCCCGAGCTGTCCCATGCAACATCGCAGGTGACCCAAGCAAAAGTGCTGGGCGGGGCGATTCTTATCATCGCAGCAGAAAGATCCTGATGCTATCATGCGGGTGGTCCCCACACTCGCGGGCGGTTTGTACCACCGCGAGGGGTCGTGAAAATACCCCGCACATCCATCGCCGTCACACGCCTCCAGCCAACGTGTCGAGAGCGACCGGAAATGCCGACCGAGGTGAAGAGGAGTTCGACCTCGGACTCTCCAGAAACGTAATCGCAAGGGTCGGACTCGCATGGGTGAAAGCCATCCCCAACTGGCTCCGTTACCACAAATTGAGGAGCTGCAGCGAGCTCTAGATAGGCTGAGAGAGCAGCAAAACGAGCAGGCCTAGGTCACCACTGCATCCCCTTCTCTCCCGAAGGTTAGCTGCTCCACTCCCGCCAGGGTTCAGAATGTCTGACATGCGGCCGTGTGGGAACCATGACCCGTAGGATCATTGTATGAGTTCAACGCCTGTGGAGCTCCACCAGGTTTCGGATCTTGCAAAATGCCGTGTTTGGCCGTGACTCTAACTTCTCATGCAAACGATGGTAAGGTCGCTCTCGTCGGGATCGATCAGTCCATGGCTCAGATGAGCACGACGTTCCTATGGTATTTCCAAGCATCAAAAGTTTTCGATGCCTCTGAGCTATCTCAAACATAAGGCAAGAAATGGACGAATCCCTCAATCTTATATCGACCGTTTCCACAGGGAACTCAACAAGGTGGTCACGCCCCCGAAGAGTCCATCCGAACACTCATAATAGCTGGAGTTCGCCCGCAAACTGACCTGTGGAAAGAATTACAGGCTGAGGACGATGTTTCCCTCACCAGATTCTATAACCTCGTGGAAAAGTATCTCGTATAGAAAATTCATTGGCGCACTATGTCGTTGCGATGACGGCGCTTCGGGCAGTAGTCTGGTCGGGGAGAGTAGGAGAGCTGATCACAAAGGAGATATTGATGATCAGCGAAAAGGGAAGAAACCCCGTTACGAGCACAAAAAGTCCTATGCTCCCGTTCCCGTCGCGACCGCGACATGCCCCAATATACTACGAATGCCTCTGTATTTGCCCTTCTTGATAAATCCGAAGAAGCTAGTCTGCTCGGAGAACCCGAACTCATGAAAACCCCTGGACAGCCAGAAATAATAAAAAGTACTGTCGCTATCATCGGGACAATGCACCATACTGACGAGTGTTGAGCCTGAAGCAAGCAATCAAAGAACTTATCAAGAAGGTGCACTTCAAGGAATACATCGATGACTCTTCTCCTCGAAAGGAAAGATCGGGGGGAGCCAAGTAAGAAGCGTCGCGATCAAAGGGGTGCTCAGTCTCAACTTGATTTTCGGAGGACCGCACTTGCTGGAAATTCGCGAGGTGCCCAAGAAAGGTATGCTCATGAAGCATATCACGACCATTAGAGTGATAAGTGCGGATAGACGACCACAAAAGGTTCGCAGGGAGGTGGAAATCTCCTTCTCCGAGCAGGATGCGGCCAGGTTGCACCATCCCACGACGACGCCCTGTAATCATCCCCTGATAGGGCACTATAACACCCAGAGAATGTTAGTGGAAACGGAGTGCTGTGAACATCCTGTTCGCATCCACTTTCGAAGGAGAACCTGGAGAGGGCCGACTAAAGTCTGCCTCGTTCCCACTTTACAGATTCACAGGAGAACCATCTACTCCCCAGGGAACAATCTACTCCCAGTCACGCTGGGCAACTTGACGAAGTGACCAAGGTAACTGAATTCTTAGTGGGGACTGCCTGTCAGCCTTCAATGGGATCCTTGGGCGACCTCTACTAAGACAGTTCAAGGCGGGTCACTTCAATTTACCATCTGAAGATGAAGTTCCCACCCCGATGGGGATCGGGGAAGTCAGCGGGTTCAGCGTGCATTGGTGATGCTATGTAAAAGTAATCCAGTGGCGCACAAAGGAAAGGGCGTTCCGCAAAGTGTACCCCGCCAGGCCATGGCGATCAGCAAGACGATCCACGACCTGGACCGGCCGAGGAACCTAGACCCTCGCATTCAAGACTGCCCCTCCAGTGGGCCAGTTGAGGACCTGACTGAAGTGCTGGTCGACCGAAAGAGCCGAGCAGGGTGTTAAGAGTCGGTAAAAATCTCAATCCCCAACTCGCTAGCGAACTGACAGGTTTCCTCAGGGAAAACGTCGATGTGTTTGCTTGATCGCATGCAGATATGGTCGGGATCAGCTCGGACGTTATTTGCCACGCGTTAAACATCGACAGCGAGGCCAAGCCAGTTCGCCAAAAGAAGAGCAATGGATTCGGGCGATATGCTGCATTAAAATCAGAAGTGGAAAACCTCATCCGAAACGGGTCCATCCGAGAGTCACTCTACCCGACGTGGGTTGCCAACCCGGTCCTGGTAATAAGCCAAACGGAAAGTGGCGGACCTGTATTGATTTAGCAACCTCAACAAGGCCTGCCCGAAAGAGAGCTTCCCTCTGCCAAGAATCGACCAGCTGTGGATGCCACCTCGAGGCACGAACTGTTAAGTTTCATGGATGCATATCAAGAACAATCAGATCCTTATGTATGGCCCAGACGAGGAGCATACTCCTTCATTACAGACCGGGGCTGTATTATTACAAAGTTATGCCTTCAGCCTCAAGAATGCTAGCACAACTTACCAGCGATGGTTAACTGAATGTTCGTTCTCCGACCAGATCGGAAAAACAATGGAGGTCTATGTGGACGACATGCTGGTCACAATCCTAGGTCGCCTCAAAACACATTGCACATCTCGCTGAGATATTTGACATCTCCGGCTGTACAAAATGAAGCTGAATCCTCTCAAGTGTTCATTCGGAGTATCGTCAGGAAAGTTCCTAGGGTACATGGTTAATCAGCGAGGGATAGAAGAAACCCGAAAAGATTCAAGCTCTGCTCGATTTAGAGAGCCCGACCAGCAAAAACAGGTCATGAGCCTAAATGGGCGAATAGCAGCACTTAGTCGCTTCATATCGAGGCTAACAGATCGCTGCTTGCCGTTTTTCAATGTTTTGAAGGCCAATAAGAAATTTGAATGGACTCCCGAATGCGAACAAAGCGTTCTAGAGTAAAAAGAACACCTTGGGAAGCCACTCTCTCTCAAAGCCTCTTCCGCAAGAGATTTTACCCCTGTACCGTCCGTCTCGCAGCCGCGGTCAGTGCGCCCTAGTTCGAGAAGAGGAAAAAGTTCAATAGCCTGTCTACGGAGCAAGCGCCTGTCGGATGCCGAGATGCTGTATCCTAAAATGGAACGATAGCCTATACCTGCTGATCGCTTCCAGAAAGCTGCGACCTTACTTCCACGCCCATACGATCTATGTAATGACTAATTACCCCCTCAGGCAGGTCCTCCAGAAGCCGGAAGTCTCGGGAAACTGCTCAAATGGGCCAGGAATTAAGCCAGTTCGACCTGAAGTACAAGCCCATATCGACCATCAATGGGCAAGCTGTCGCTGAATTCATTTCAGAATTCTCCTATCTCCCGAATGAGTAGAGCAACAGCCCAGTGAAGCATCCAAGAGACCATTCAGAACCTATCGACCTGGAACCTCTATGTCGACGGATCATGACCAAAAAAAGGGCAGGAGCAGGTCTCCTCCTTTTGAGTCCTGAAGAGGCTCGCATTCATGGCTCTTATGGTTCGGATTCAAGGCGACCAACACAAAGCTGAGTACGAAGCTCTGCTTGTCGGATTACGGTTGGCCAGAGAAATGGGCACAACCGCGATCAGCGTCCATAGCGACTCTATGCTGGTCGTAACCAAATCCTAGGAGATACCAAGCCAAGGAAGAAAACATGATCTGTTATTAAAAGAAGCTAAGGCCGCGCTCGAGCCGTTCAAGCATTTCACGATCACCCAGATCCCCAGAGATGCAACTCTGTGGCGGACGCCTTGGCAAAGATAGCTCTCGTTGGACTCAGAAGCACCTGAGCATTCCTGTTCGGTTTCACGAGACCCCGAGCATCAGTTAATAAATAGGCCATGAGTGTAACGCAATCAAACTCCTGGATGACGCCCATTTACAGGTATCTCAGGGAGAGATCTTGCCGACGACAAGGTCGAGGACGGGTCCTGCGAACAAGATCTGTCGCTACACCACTCATCGGGGACCAACTGTACAGGAGGGATTCAGTGCCTTCTCCTCCGATGTGTAACCAGTGAAGAGGCAGATTATATCATGAGAGAAATCCATGAAGGGATATGTGGTAATCACACCGCGCATGATCTCTCGCGAACAAGATTGTTCGCCAAGGGTATTATTGGCACCGAATCCAAGAAGATACCCACAATTTTGCAAGAGGTGTGAAATAAGTCAGCGGTTCGCGAATATTCTGCGAGCCCCCTCTCACGAGCTGGTAACGATGTTAGCCCATGGCCATTTTCCATGTGGGGGATCGACCTTATCGGTCCCATGCCAGTCGAAAAAGGGGGAGTTAAGTATGCCATGGTCGCGGGGACTATTTACAAAGGGTGGAAGTTGAACCCTGGCCGCGTCACGACCAGAAAGCTGAAAGACTTCCTTTCAAGAACATAGTTGTCCGCTACGGAATTGCTCACACCTTTATTTCGGATAATGGAAAGCATTCGACAACGAGGAGTTCAGCACTTCTGCGATGAGCTGGGCATTCATAAAAATTTGCCTCAGTCGCAGACCGCAAGCAAATGGCCAAGTTGAAGCTGTCACAAGACCATCAAGTACACTCTAAAGGCCAAACTTGGGGCAGCTAAGGGAAAAATGGGCTGACGATCTCCCCGAAGTTTTGGGCATACAAGACAACTCCAAGAACCTCCACCTCAAAAACGCCCTTTCGCTAGCTTATGCTGTGAAGCAATGATTCCTATGGAGGTAGGAACTGATTCTCTTCGGAGAGACTTGTACGATGAGGTTGAAAAAACGAAGCACTTATGAGGGCAAGTCTGGATCTTGTTGAAGAGCACCGTAGCAAGGCTTCGCTAAGAATAGCAGCCTACCAGCAACGTGCGAAGAGGTTCTTCGATTCAAAGGTCAAGCGAAGAGACTTCCAGGTCGGAGACCTTGTGCTAAAAGAAGTTCCTCCGCAACTAGGGAACCAAGTGCGGGGGTACTAAGACCTAACTGGGAAGGTCCGTACGGGTCGACAGGTGATCAGATCGGGGACTTACCATATCAAAGGCTGAACGGTTCCAAGTGCCCCGAGCTTGGAATGCCGAGCACCTTCGGCCATACTATCAGTATCCCGAACTCAGCTCATATACCTTAGCCCACATTGCTGTTAAGTTCTCTGAGATCTTGACCAAGATTGACAGACGATCTGGCAAGGAGCTTGAGAAGGAGCCCAAGTTCTTGAAGAATGGTGATGCTGGGTTCGTTAAGATGGTTCCAACCAAGCCCATGGTTGTCGAGACATTCTCTGAGTACCCTCCCCTTGGTCGTTTTGCTGTTAGGGACATGCGTCAGACAGTGGCTGTTGGTGTCATCAAGAGTGTCGACAAGAAGGACCCATCAGGTGCCAAGGTCACCAAATCTGCAGCTAAGAAGAAGTGAGGTGTTTTGGAGGTCTATGGTAGCTAGGCGTATTTTCTGTTCTGTTTAATGTTGTTTTTGTGGACAGTTTTTATATGCATATCCATTACAGTACCGCTAAAGTTGAGCAGTTGGATATCATCTGGTGCTCAACTGGTTGTGATGGAAGTCGGGATTTGCTTTTCTTGATTTGGTTTTATAGGCTCTAAAATGAGTTCTTGTGTTACTGAACCAAATCCCAAAATGTTAAAACATCATGGTTTCAATTTTATGGCTAATGCTGCATTGCTAAATTGAGTTATTTAGTTTTGTTAAGAGGTAAGAGCCCGAGTCCTGAAATTTTGTATTAATTCAATGTCCCCGGTACGGTCTCTTTTGGTAAGGTACTTGTTCTACTCGGAAATTGATCTCTTCAAAATTGATCTTAGTAAAAGTTGCAGTAGCTTTCGCAATGCGCACAATGGTTCTCTTAAAGCAATATTATATTTACAAAAAAATTTTACAAAGATTTTTATAAAAGTGATATGGAAAAAAATGAATGGAAGAGTGAATTTAATGAGTTGGATTTTTTGTTTGATTTTTTTATTTATTTTTTATTACTTTATTTTGTATGAAAATTTTTGTAAGATTTATTTATAAATATAGGATTATTGGGTTTTCTTATTTTGGCTGCAATGACCGCGTGAATGGGCATAGTCATGAAACCTTGGTCCTACTGTAGTACTGTATAATGTATGTCCACTGGGAGCTCCCAAACATTACCGTCTGTCAGCATTTCTTGATGATTGGTTGCGACACTTGGGCATCATCGGTCACTGATTGTACACAATTTCTTCCTGAATAGAATAGTGCTAAAACCTCGGCTACTTTGCAAGTAAGACTGCAATCTCGGCTACAATGACAAATACGGCTAAGACGTGAAATAGATGCAGAAGGAAAAACCACCGTTAATTGGTTTGATAGTAAACAAACGAAAAGAAATTATATAAACTCTTGATTTTGAGTTTTCACGGGTCTTAATAGGTGGTCATTTAGGAGCTTATTTGGCCATTAATTTCAGACTTTAAAAGATTAGTAGAAATATGTGTAAACTATAACCATTTTAGTCATTAACATCCAAACATTCGTGGTTTCGCAAAAAGTAGCACAACTGTCAACACAATACAAAAAAAATCTAATTATTAAACAAAATATAATAAAATAATTTTCGGGTCATGAAAATCATTTTCCTAGGGCAAGGTCAATAATAATGGGGAGAATATGGCAAAAAGAGTTTGCAAAACAAAAGGGTTCAGATTGCTTCACAGTGATTTTCGCATGCACTTCCATTATGCTACAAGTGGAAATGCACATTAAGAGATGCTGCTTATACGTGACAAATCATCATTACTGTACTCGTTATCACTATCAAGTATCAACCTCTGGCTTTCATTGCAGCCTTTCTGCTTCTTCCAAAGCAATTATTTTTACTGATTCAATATCCCTTTGACCTAACCATCTGTAGATTATGAAGATAATTGAGCGATCGACATTCCACAATATGCTTTCCGACGCAGCTGTTCAATTAATGTACAATTTTTTTTTTTATGTCAACTTAAAAGTAATTTACCTAATCTTTTATGACCTTAAAACTATTTCTGTGATTTTAGAACTAGTGATCATATAAGAATTTTAATGGTTACTCTTATTAGGAACAACAAAATGACTTCAATTTAGAACCTCTTAAGTAATATATTCAAGATTCAAGAGTCTCGATCCCACCACTTTGGATGTCACCCAGAGGTGGTTAATGTACGACTAGTGTTAGCAATAGAATTTAATTTGACCATTCATTCATACACACTGAAAACTGAAAATGCTAACTGCGAACAGTAAGTACTGCAGTTTATTCACAATTCAAAACTAATGATTTATAAACAAACCATGAAACCGAAATTAAACAACAAATAAAAAAAAAAAAAAAGAAAAAAAAGACAAGAACTAGACACTACAAAAGATCTTCTACAAAACAAACTTTCTAGCTGATCATCATCTTATTCACCTCCAGAGCTTCCTTAATCAAACCCCATGATCATGTCATTACCGAAGTTCCTGACCATATTCGGCAACTTCCCAAACTTGGCCGCTATCTTCTTTTCATACTTGTCCGTCTTATCTGGTGGTGCCGCTGCTGCAGTAGGCAATATAACAGCTTCACTTTGTGCATCGGTGAAGTTTCTAATCCGGTCCTCGCTCACTCCGAAAGAAGCCGCGAGCTCAGGGTTAGGCAGAGTCCGAAGAAGTGAGCTCGCACCTACCAGGAACTGTGGCCTGTTCTTCCGTGCTGAGGTTGTGAATCCAAAAAACTCAAACGGCCCTGTTCTTGATGCGATTTGGCAGAATGCAAAGTACCTCGGCACCCAAAACACATCGCCTTCTTTCACTTTTGCGTCCAAAGCTGAGCTTCCGTTTGGATACACTATTTGAATTCTTCCTGATCCTCTTAGTACAACCCCATATTCAGTAGCAGTTGGATTCACATGTGGTGCCATCATCGATCCCTGCAATAGAAAGAATCAATTGAAGTGTAACATTCAGGACAATGTGAGTATTCATTTATATACTATCTGAATTTCTCATTACCGCTGTAAGATTAACCAGATAAACACCAATGCCGGAATGTTTAAGAGGTTTATAATCAGACCCATCAAGAGCAACACTCCATCCATAGTTGTTCTTGAAGTCAGGGCGTCTTTTGTAGATGTTGTATGCGTCTGGGGATCTACGGGTTGCTCTGGTATCCTTCCTATCTTCGGCTCCGAATACCGAGTTCAAGAGTTTCCTCCACGACCAAGTTTTTTGTTCTTGTTCTTGTGGCTCTTGTTGGAACTCCACCATTCTCTTTAGGTGTTGTAGTCTCTCTTGCTCTTTCAGTTGCAAGAATTTTGACCACATGCTTGGCGCATGAGAATCAGATATGTACACAATTGGACCATCTTGTTGCCTGTTTAAGATATCCTCCACTTCGTCGCTGCTGACCTGTGATGAAATTCAGTATGTTTAATTTCTCGTAACAATAGAAGTCGCCATAGATAAGTGAAATAGTTGCTAATAAAGCAAGTAAATTAGCTTACATTAAAAGCATTTGAAAGTGTTTCGTGGCCGAATCCAGCTAGAATAGACGTGGGATATGATCCTCCACCGATGAAGAAAGACTGCGGATTACAGAAAAAAGTATCAGAACTTCTGAATGAGCAAATTAATTCGGACAAATTATACTGTTATGTGATTATTGAACTTATACTAAGTAAATTTCAAGTACCTGGAAAGCTCTCAATCCCAAACTCTCAGATGGGTCAATGCTGCAAATGATATGAAGCTTCTGTCCTTCCCCCGTGTTCACCAAATAGAATGCTGAACCGGCCGGAATACGGAACACGTCACCAACCTTCAATGTCTTTTCCACCAGGTCATCTTTGTAGATGCATCCAACTCTGGCTTCCCCTGCAACCAATTTCACATGTATATCACATCAGCTGCCATCATTTAGTACTTTTTTAGCCTTTTCTTAGCTGAAAAGGAAGGTAAAATAGAGAATGTTGCATACCTCTGCGAACGAAGAGGATCAAATTTGAGTCAATATACTGAGGAATGAAGAGACTCTTGGGCTCCATAGAAACGAACCCAATATGCATCGGCCTGTCCACAATTCTTCCTCCAACACTAGTTATGACACGCACATCACCAGCCTCAGTCTTCACTACACGCTTTGCGTCTTGCAACAAGAACCTTTCCTCTCCACGACCTGATCTTTCATCTTCTTCTTCTTCACCACCCCTCTCCTCTCTCTCCCTCTCTCTCTCCCATTCTCTTTCCGGCTTCCAATCTTCATCCTCATCTTCATCTCTATACCCCATTGTCATGGTCAGCGCATGACTGAAAACCAGCACTAACAGCAAAAAAGTGGCCAGATTTCTCATAGCTTAGCAGTTTGATTTTGATGATGATGAGATTGTGTTTAGTGTACTGGAAATCCAAAAGTGGTTGGTGTTTATAAAGAAAGAAGGAGAAGAGTAGAAAGAGATACGTGTCTTTCATGCAGAGTTTGTGCGATTGGTGGCAGATTTTTGTTTAGACACAGTTGAGTTCTGGTGAGAAATATATCCCTGTATGACAAAGTCTTGTTGGAAGACCATCGTTTTCTCTTCTTTGGAATTTTGTATCTTAGTTTTAGTTATTACATTCATAATCTGCCTAAGTCCTAAAATCCTTTTAACAAAAATTATGTAGGAATGGATAATATTTAATAATATTTGTTTTAACTTTACTCACATTATCTGAAAATATCGTTAATGGTTTTTTTTAATCACCAAGAGGGTCCAAATTAATTTGTACGCATAAAAAATAAAATAATGTTAGTGTTAATACACACCTATGTGATTACTCCGATGATCTTCGTATGGACGCCAATCATCACATTATAAATTCTCGCAAATCGTAATATGCCTTAATATTTGAGCAGTGTTAGTCTTACAAAGGCAAATACAAAAAAGGCATATAAAGACAATTGCTATCCTTGATCTTCATGATTTTTTTCTCTCTCTTTTTTTTTTCTGTTTTTTCTTTGTTTTTTCTTTCTTGCTGACATCACTTTTTAGCCCTCTTTGTATTGTCTTTGCAAGGATAATATTTTTCTTAATATTTATAGGCTTCTACTTGATTATATTGCTTGCTATACACACACCAAAATTGAGAATTTTAGATATATGAAGATGAAGATCATATTTTTATTTCAGCACTTATGAATATAGAATTAAAGTTTTTTTAGCATTTTGATGAATATATCTTTATCAATTATCATATATTTGTATATTTTTTTTCATTTTTAAAATAAATTTCAAGCGGTAAAAAATAAATTAAAATTTATTTAAAATATATACATTATTATTTTATTTCAGTAAAATATTATAAATTTAGTATAATAAAAATGTTGTTACGATGTCTCGTACCAACGAGAAATATGCAAGCCTTAGGGGAGGTTCGCACAAGGGTCGATGAGAGACCTGGAATATGATGCTGAACCAATGAGAAAAATAATAACAATATGAGCAAATAAATAAAGAGAAACAAAATCAGTTTTTAAAGTGGTTCGGATGTAATATGCAAATTCTACGTCCATTATTATTTTATCAAATGAGACAATTGCTTTTCTAGTGTGTTTACAAAAGGCTATTTGCTATCATATGAGACAATTGCTCTTAGCTATTGAGAAAAATGAAATTTCGGATCCCTTCTTTGGGGTGAGACACCCCTATTTATACTGTTACATAGGTGAACTTGCTCGTGAAGTAATTCTCCCATCACATGGTATGTGGCCCGACAAACTACCTTTGTTGGAGACTTACTTGTGAAGTAACCCTCTTATGAGATAACATACGACCTAGACAACAACTCTGCCCTAAACCTTATTGTCGAAGCAACTTATGATAGCTTTACAAATGAAGTAATCTCTTCATAGTATGACACGCAACCTGGACAAATGCATAGTCACAGGACATGTGGCGAGAGCTCATGCTCCATTTGCATAGTCACGGGACACTTGACATAAATTCCCCATGAATTTACCTTATAACAAAAAGTATATAAAAAATCATTAAAATAGTTGATTTACGTTTAACCTAATAAATGTTAAAAATATGAGTCAATTTAATAATATTTTGTTGTTGTGGTAAAATGGAAGAGGTAAATAAATTAAAAATAATTTTTTTATATTAGATTAATATATTAAAATATTTACATATAAAAAACTTTAATATATCATAATATTAAAGTTTTGATTAATTAAGTGTGTAAATTATAATTGGAATTAGGATCCAATTAAAAGCGTTTTAATGTTATTGAAAGAATTATTTTTGAATAAAATAATATATTTGATTGAATAATATTTAATTATTTATTTCAATTATCAAGTTTTAATTATATCTATAGTAAATATAATAAATTGATAAACATTAATACATTACTAGTTAAATAATTACCTAATTATTAATTAATTATAACATTACATTATAAACATGAGTAATTTACTACATTAATACATTACTTAATTAAATTATTAGAAATTTAATTAATTATTATATTACATTATAATACTTAACTAATTATAAAATTACATTATAGTTAAATGATTAGCTAATTAATTATAACATTATATTATAAACATTAGTAATTTACTATATTAGTACATTACTTAATTAAATAATTAGAAATTTAATTAATTATAACATTACGTTATAGTACTTAACTAATTATAAAATTACATTATACTTAAATGATTAGCTAATTAATTATAACATTGGTAATTTACAACATTAGTACATTACTTAATTAAATGATTAGAAATTTAATTAATTATAACATTACATTATAGATTTATAGTATGATTACTTAATTCATATAACATTACATTTTAAATATTAGTGATTTACTAATATTGCATTACTTAATTAAATGATTGTATTTATAGTATAACAACTCATGCTCATGAGTCACGATATATTAAAAAATCATTAAACAAACTTAAAGTTAGAGTCATAATAATTATTAATTAAAGATTCATAAATCATACTAATATTAATATTTAATTTTATTCTTTGTTACAAATTCACAATTAATGTTAATTTAACTTTATTTCACTCTAGTAATTATAATGTTATAAATATTTGTATTTTTGGATATAAAGTTACTAAATCTAATTCCCAAAATTAATTCATAACTACTTTGAAAATATATATTTATAATTTTAAGGTTTTCTTAATTTGCTAGGGGTGTATTTGTAAATTTTAAGGTGTGTTTGTCATTTTAAACATAGGGGGTAACTATTTTTTAGAGGGTACCAAGTAAGGAACCGGAACCTGCATTTCAAGTTCCGGTTCAAGAATCAAAGAACTGAACTAACAGTTTCTGGTTCCAATTCCTTTTCCTAGGAACCTGACGGTTCAGATTTCAGTTCCAATTCTCTCAAAAAATGTAGGGTACCAAACTGCTCACTCTACTGTTTGTCATAAAAGTGACAGTTATCCATAGACATGTCACCTCGGATGATGAATATTACTGAACCCATTTTAGATGTGTGAATCTAATAAACCATGTCATTCTGGATGAGAATATCACTTGAACCCATTGTAGATGTGTGAATATCTAATAAACCCCTAATATGGCTAACCGTCACCTTCTGGAATAGATTGATATTTACCATTAACTTTTTAAATGTATTGATATTCCATGGGTTCGCAGAAAGCGTAATTAGTTTTCTCAAACCAACATGGAAAGGATTATTTTTTTTTGATGAAACAAAAGAAAACGCACCGCTCTTTCTTTGGTTATCTTTACCATTTCTCAGCAAACAAACGGACTGGAAAAAGTTCCAAATCAAACACAACCAAGATATAAATAGAGAGAGAAAAAATTAAATATAGATATTTGTTGTATTCTTTACTCGAAGATTGAAGCAGCGAGTTGGAGCTAGTAGATCAAGCTGAAACTGCAATGCATTAAGCAACGCCAAACCTTTTGGAATTCTTTTCTTTCTCCTCGACTCCGATAATTTTCAATTTTTGTTGAGCTTTTGCAAGCTTCATCCCACTCTCACTTTGCTTTCTCCACCGCCTTCACCAATTCGTTTATTTGGATGTTTGTTGGTTTGCGAGAAAGGAAGGAAAGTGATGAAAAAAAAAAAAAAAAACACTATATGATATGAGAAATACATATTAATTTTATTTGACCTTGATAAATAAAAAAGGAATAATGTTATGCCAACAACCTTTTTCCATTGTGACAACTGAGTTGACATTGTTACATCAGAATAATTTTGACTAGACCAAAGAAACGGTCGTTCCTTCATAGGAAACAGTCGTTCCTTATGAATGAATGATAGTTCCTCACGGAATGAATGACTATGAAAGAACAACTAAAAGAATGACCGTTCGTAAATAAGGAACAATCATTCCTAATGGAGGGAGGAATGGGTGTTCCTTTGGTTGTTCTCTAAGGACCAACCAAAGGAATAGCTAAGGAACAACCATTCCTTTGGTTGTTCCTTCATAAGTAACCTTTGCTCCTTTTGAAGAAACGACTGATCATTTCTAGTAATGCGCCCGTTTTTTCTTAAAGTACGACTATTCGTTTCTAGTAATGCCTTTGGTGTCTTAAGTGTAGTGGGAGCTGACGTGAGTCACGTGACAGTACCAATCTGCTGACATGTTAGGGTTATAAGAGAAGGTTGTGAGATTGGTTGTAAACGTAATATTTTCATAAAAAAAGTCGATTTAAAAAAAATATATTAGAGGTATTTTTAAAACTTAATCCTTAAGAAACCATGTCTTGCTAATAAAGCAAAAGAAAAAGAAAAAAATAGTCTTTATAAAAAAAGTTTAAGTGTGAGAATTCATGATACCATAACGGACTCATAAAAAAAGTATAGATCTAGTCGTTAATGACAGCCATATCTTGGTCGCCAATGTGGCCAAAGATGTGGCCATTAACGACCAGATCTTTGACTGTAGATTTGACATTTTTCAACCAGATCCATGGTGGATTTGACCTTTTCCGGCCAGATCCATGGTGGATTTGCCCAAAAAAGGCCAGATCAGTGCACGATCGGCTAGATCCAGTCGGTTGTGCACCATTACGACGACTTTCAGCTACCCTTCGACGGTGGTGGCTGGCTTCCGACATTTAATGGATGGATGAGGGCGTTTTTGTTAATTTTTAATGTTTTATTGTAGGGGATGTTCAACTAAATTAACAAACTTAAGGGGTTTAAAATAGTTGAATGGAATATGATTGAATTTTGAGAATAGGGAAACAAATATATATTTTAGATATGATAAAAATAAGATAGGGAAAAATAATAAAACAAATGGCCAGGGGTATTTTTAAAACTTAATCCTTAAGAAGCCATGTCTGGCTAATAAAGAAAAAGTAGAGTCTTCATAAAAAAAAAGGTTGAGTGTGAGAATTCATGATACCATAAGGGACTAAAAAAATTAGTTACTCCAACCAAAATCACTTACGAGCATTATATATACAACAAACCCCACTTTAACGGTTCTTTCAACTTCAAAACCAAGCAACAAACTGTAAATTTTGCAACTTCCGTAGCTCCCACGACTCGCCCCTTAAGCGCGGCGATTGCAACGGTTATATTTCTACAAAATTGATTAAATAAAATAATGTCCGAGTCAAACGCCGACTCGGCCCGAAACATTAATAATGTTGTAGTACCGGAGATCTCAATCGAGATCGTGAGCGAAGAAGAGATGGCTCTAATCGATGCAGCCTTAGCAGCAACTCGCTGTTCATTTACTTCCTCTACAATTCCTTCAATTTGTTCTCCATCTCAGTTTCAAAGAAACGCCAGGTCTCTACGCTTTATCACGTTACTATCAAAAAGGAGGTTTCCGGATTGTAGTACACCAGATATTGAGGATTCGGGTGATTTGGGGTTAAGCCATAAGAGGAATAAGGTTCCCGAGTCGTTTTTGGAACGATTTAGGAAGGGGAGAGGCTTGTCTGTTACTGATATGACTGGCACGGTATGGAATTTGAATTGTTTTAGCTCAAGTTTGAGTTCTTTTTAACAACTATGATTTGATTAGTTTGAATGTGGGTTTCGTTTGTGTTTCTTTAGTTTCTTGTTTGGGCTTCAACTTCTGGTGGTGGACTTTAAGTTCAATGACAATTTGAAGTTTAAATGGTTCTAAATGTTTCACAGACNCCCAAAAAAGGCCAGATCAGTGCACGATCGGCTAGATCCAGTCGGTTGTGCACCATTACGACGACTTTCAGCTACCCTTCGACGGTGGTGGCTGGCTTCCGACATTTAATGGATGGATGAGGGCGTTTTTGTTAATTTTTAATGTTTTATTGTAGGGGATGTTCAACTAAATTAACAAACTTAAGGGGTTTAAAATAGTTGAATGGAATATGATTGAATTTTGAGAATAGGGAAACAAATATATATTTTAGATATGATAAAAATAAGATAGGGAAAAATAATAAAACAAATGGCCAGGGGTATTTTTAAAACTTAATCCTTAAGAAGCCATGTCTGGCTAATAAAGAAAAAGTAGAGTCTTCATAAAAAAAAAGGTTGAGTGTGAGAATTCATGATACCATAAGGGACTAAAAAAATTAGTTACTCCAACCAAAATCACTTACGAGCATTATATATACAACAAACCCCACTTTAACGGTTCTTTCAACTTCAAAACCAAGCAACAAACTGTAAATTTTGCAACTTCCGTAGCTCCCACGACTCGCCCCTTAAGCGCGGCGATTGCAACGGTTATATTTCTACAAAATTGATTAAATAAAATAATGTCCGAGTCAAACGCCGACTCGGCCCGAAACATTAATAATGTTGTAGTACCGGAGATCTCAATCGAGATCGTGAGCGAAGAAGAGATGGCTCTAATCGATGCAGCCTTAGCAGCAACTCGCTGTTCATTTACTTCCTCTACAATTCCTTCAATTTGTTCTCCATCTCAGTTTCAAAGAAACGTCAGGGCTCTACGCTCTATCACGTTACTATCAAAAAGGAGGTTTCCGGGTTGTAGTACACCAGATATTGAGGATTCGGGTGATTTGGGGTTGAGCCATAAGGGGAATAAGGTTCCCGAGTCGTTTTTGGAACGATTTAGGAAGGGGAGAGGCTTGTCTGTTACTGATATGACTGGCACGGTATGGAATTTGAATTGTTTTAGCTCAAGTTTGAGTTCTTTTTAACAACTATGATTTGATTAGTTTGAATGTGGGTTTCGTTTGTGTTTCTTTAGTTTCTTGTTTGGGCTTCAACTTCTGGTGGTGGACTTTAAGTTCAATGACAATTTGAAGTTTAAATGGTTCTAAATGTTTCACAGACTTTAGATGGATTTAAATATTTTAATTCATTCTTTATTTATTAGCTTTAATTAGATTGATTTTTTTGTTGGAAGTTGAACTGTAAATTTGATTTTGTTTTGTTCATTTTTTTGAACTTCGATTATACCATGAGGGCATGAATCACTACTTCATCCTCTTCTTGCCCATTCTTCCTATTTGCTTGGTTAATTGGTCTTTAAGGAAGCGAACGAATTAAAACTTTGATAAAATTTCTTTGGCAATTCTTTCAAGCATATATTTTAATACAAAGTTTGTAGCAGTACTATGGTATGAGGCTGAATTACAAATTTGGTTACATATGTTTGTGTTTTGTATTAACAACAGGAATGGTGTGAAAAACAAATGGAGTATACTCTACTTTTTGGCAGAAAAAGAGTCAATAAAGCTATGAGAGCAGGCAAGGCACGCCATGAAAAACTTGAAGAAGAAGTAAACTCTCAGTTTCAAGAATTGTCCAACTCTTTACTATTCTCTATCATGTTTGCAATAATTTGCTACTCTTAGCTCTTCTTGTATGAAAAGGACCTTTTCCATTCTCGAATGGTGTATAGATAAAATCTGATTTCTGAACTTAAGTAAATAATATGTCACATGTTCTCATTGGGTTATACTATACAAAGGTAGCATCTCTGCGCATAGCATTTAGATACGTCATTTCAAATTAATTGACTTTCCAAACTTGTTTCTTTCCTGCGGTATGCCCGTATCGGGAGATTGTCTAACTTATTATTTTCTTGCTGCACATTTCTGACTTTGAACCCAGTGCTTGTTAACATCTGTTGTGTCCTTTTATTGCCAAGGTAGAACTTTCTGATCACTCTAATTTTTTGCAGGTCTCTAGAAATGTCAAAATTCATGTCCAGTCAGGTGAAGATGCATGGGCTATTAAATTCATTAATTTCATAACTAGAGCAAATCAATTGTTGTTTGAAGGGCTGACACGTGAGCTGCCACTGTAAGTTCAAGCATTTCGAATTATCTCCAAATCCCATCTTTGACTTCTCATGGTTTATGTATTTCTCAACCCTCCATATGGCACTGATATAGCGGGGATTGTATGTGAGAGTTCTAGATTGCAAAAATTCAGAACTTGTTTTCTAATTAAACAGAGAGAAAAAATTGATATAAGTTAATGATGAACATTTTGTGAAATTTATGGGACAATTAATCAAATAATGGTTCCGGGTACAAGAAGTTTGAAAAATAAGTTTGAAGTAGACATCAATTGCAACTTTTTCTTGCCTTTGGCAAAGTTCAAGAATCTGCCAAGTAGTGCTTTTCCTTGGTTCGAATTTTGAGTTTTGGCGAGTTCAGATGCAACTCTTGTTTGAATATGAAGATCTTTGCATTTTTTTTCTTCTTAAATTGGATTGCTAGTTGTATTTCTTTATTGTTCTGATTAGACTGCAGGCTTTTTCCCGCAGATTATTTTAGAAACCACATGCTTTCTCTCTCATTAGTTGAAGTTGAAGAATTGATTTCTAATATTTGTTTCTTGCTGATGGACTATAGTTGCTTATAACATCAGATATGGCTTTATAGAAGGTGTATGGATGGTGGGAGTGATTGATGAGATTCAGATGCCTGTAAAAGAAACTCATAGCAACCCGATATTAGTGGACACAAAAACTCGTGTCAGCGAGACACTCCCTGCTGAATCACAAAGAAGAAATGGAAGGTATTCATATTTATTTGTTTCTGCTTCAATATGATTGATATGTAGATCTATTTTCCAATGCTTTATAATTTGTTTCGATGCAAATGAGCTTTTATTATCTATTTTGTTGTACTTTGGTCCTAAAAAAACAGGACAAGATGATTATTGTGAATTCTACATTTATGTTGGCAGGCTTCAACTAATGTGCTACAAGTATATGTGGGACAATTTAGCAGCTGGTGCTTTTCCATCCAGACAGTTTTTTGATTACTTTTCGCTGAATCCTGAATATGTCTTGTCTGAAGAAATAAGAGAGAGCACTGCCGATGAAGGTTATCCAGCGAAGGTAAATGTTATCTTTTCTTTTTGAATTGTGCTAGTCCGCTTGATATCTGACAATATTATGATGATTCAGTCATCATTCTTACATAAGCTTGAGATACATTTTATGATATGAAGATGTATTATGTTATCCAGGGTTTCCTTTATTTGACATTAGGGTGAAATAAATTACTATTATTTCCCTATAACTAAATGGCGTAAATCAACTTAGGATTTTGAGGGTTTAGTTGATGTTCTACTCTTATAAATGCTTTTATTTCATTTTGGCTGTACAGACCCTTGAGGACATTGTGACATTCTATATGAATACATGGAACATGCTGCCTTCTGCTCACAACCAGCTGTTACTGAGGTGAGCCGAAAATTATCTGCAAAATTTCTTTAAATGTCTGGTATTTTTTATGGTTAGAGAGTTTCAGAAGTTTCTTTGATTATAAAGATGAATAATATTACATATACAATATTATGTGGCAAATTATGATTGTCTGATTTTAAATTAAAATTAAACTTTTACTCAATTATCTTTTACCACATAAAGTTGTATGAGAATGTTATATGTGTAGTATTATTCTATAAAGATAGTTCACAGCATAAGACATGTAATGCTATTGAATCGATCATTTGAATGAGCCTTGACTTGATATAGTACTTTTATGAGAATTAGCTAGAATTGCATTCAGAAGATACATTTTTTTTTTTCCAAACTTCTCACATCAGCTTGCTCCTTTCTAGAGATGACGTAAATTTACTAAGATAAGCCATTTATTTACCTGTGTGGAAATCTTGCTACAATACTTTAGTTGATTGCTTTGGAGCAGATACGAATTTCAGAAAGATCAGTCACTAATTGGCGAAGACAAATTTTATTACGACGAAAATTGGCTTAAGAGTCGAATTCAAGATTGCCTTGGATTCTGGAGGGGTGAGCGGGAAGCTAGTTACACACCAGTGGAAGACCGTTGGAAATGCCAGTTTTGTCAATTTGCGCCGGTTTGCTCTGGAAATTCCAAGCCTGAAAGCACTCCCAGTTCCTCTCAGGCTGATTCTAATACTTCATCGTCTCAGAAAGAAACGCTTTAAGGTGTAGGCCATGCTAGCTTCCTGCAAAGAAGCAAAAATTGTGTAGGAGCTTCTTTGTATAAACTGTAGCTTTGTATTGTTTGTGTTGTAAGCATTCTGTTGTATGCTTTGTTCATTCGATGTTGTAAAACCCAAGTGTATTCATCATTTGATTATAAAAAAATTATTATTATTTATTTACCATTTGTGACCTTTCTCTATATATTATGTTGCCTTTTGAAAATAAATGCGACTATCATCAATTGTTTATTATTCTTGAATTGTGAAATAATTAAAATCATAATTATCTAGTTTATAATAAATTAAAGCAAACATTTATTAATGGATGAGGAAACCCACCCATCAACAAAAATAAAAGCATTAGAACATTAGTTGACGAGTTTTTGAAAAAAAAAAAAAAATATATATATATAAAAATGACCAACTCGACAAGAATTAAAAAAATAACCACTTGTGTGTGTGTAATGTGTCTATTGCTTTAAAAAAAAGGACCTAGTGGTCAGTTTTGTAAAAATAAAAAAAGGACCTAGTGGTCAGTTTTGTAAAAATAAAAAAATGACCTAGTGGTCAGTGTAAAGCACCTTCTTTAGAATCTTTACGACTTGCTTACTTGCATCAGTTCTAGAGACTTGGTTCCTTTTGAACTGCAGTACTAACCGCTTTTTCTTTCACAGCCGCCGCTCGTACTCCACCGACACCGCCACTCACAATTCGACCGTTATTCTGAATTATCGGTAATTCTCTACCCGTTTGGCGCCATTTTCCGAGTTATTTTTTAAATTCCGTACTGGTAAAGAGTATATATATATATATCTCTACCCGTTTTGCGCCACTTTCCGAGTTATTTTTTAAATTCCGTACTGGTAAAGAGTATATATATATATATATTTTTTTTTTTTGTTAATATTAGTAGTAATCCACTGAGTTGAATTCTGTAGAGCTGCTTATTTCAGACAATTAATATCTTCTTCTGGGTTTCAAATAAAATTTCTTTTCTTGTATTGTTTGGTTTCATTTTATGTTTTAGCCTTTTTTGTTGGGAGAACTATGGATTCGTTTCGTATTATAATTTGTGAGATGTTTCATCAGTTGAACAAACTGTCTGTAACAAAACCCTGTTGCACATACCTTCAGTAGACACCATGGTGCAAGAGAGAAGGAGGAATCGACCGAACATATTGATAACTGGAACACCAGGAACAGGAAAAACGACGACATCGACTGCTTTATTAGAGTCAACACAGCTTCGCCACATAAACATCGGGGATTTGGTAAGAGAAAAAAAATTACATGACGGCTGGGATGATGAGCTCGAGTGCCACATCATCAATGAAGACCTGGTATTAAAGATTTCAACCTATAAATAATCAAGCTCTACATATTTTAACATTATTTTATATAGTTTATCTCATTGGTTCTTTTGTTATTTATTTTATTTTTTAGGTATTTAACAAAATCGTTGTTTACTTTGCTGGTGCTAATGATATTTAAATGAGTTGTTATAATGTGATTATCAAAAATTAAAAATAATTTAGGTGCTCAGTAAGATTTCCATTTTCAGGGAGATTCTATGAGTTTCAGAATATGTTGATGATTTTCACTGGATAACATTTGCCCTTCAGAAAAATAAAATGAAATTTGCTAATTGATTTGAAGTATAGTTTTTGAGCAAGTTGTTGTTTTTGCAATCCTTCTAGGTATATCTTTTTTCCTTTTGACTGTTTTTGATGCCACTAGTAACTGACTCATAATAATCATTTACGGAATCAGTCATATGCATTGATTATCGATTAGTGGATCTGAACAGAGGAAGGACATCAGTTTATTTAATTACTCAACTACAGATTTCTTTATTTGACTGGTAAAAGCATCAAATTGTATTCCGTGGACTTTGCAGGTGTGTGATGAACTTGAGGATTTAATGGAAGAAGGTGGTAATATTGTGGATTACCATGGATGTGATTTCTTTCCTGAGCGATGGTTTGATCGTATTGTTGTGCTTCAAACTGAAAATTCTGTTTTGTATGATCGTTTGACTAGGAGGTAGCTCTTCTTATGTTCATGTGACTGTTCTTTTAGTTTTGTTACTTGGGATATTTTCTGAATTCTCAAGAACTGCTTTTGTGGCAGAGGTTACTCTGGGGCTAAGCTTTCCAACAATATTGAATGTGAAATCTTTCAAGTTTTGCTGGAGGAGGCAAAAGAAAGTTATCCAGAGGATACTGTCGTGGCTTTGAAGAGCAATACCATTGAGGATATCACTACAAATGTTGCAACTTTGACAGATTGGGTCAGGAATTGGCAACCAAGTTCCTAGAGAATGCAGTACAAATATGCTCTTCTTTTTATGTTTGTGTTTGTTTACCTTTTGGATGTACTAGTAAATCTTTTAAGTCTACTTGAAATAGTTTTATGCATAATGTAGAATTCTCAAAGTAGTTTTTCTGTTTTAGCGTAATGGGAATTGTTTATGAGAATTTTTCTTGTGATAGTTTTACCAGTTCTACTCTCTCTCAGCATTTCGAGGATGTTTGTCAAGCAAATATGCTGAAAGTAAATGCAGTCGTTAGTTTTACAAGTTATAAATGATATTTGGATGTTTTTCATGAAAATGTTTGCATCCCTTTGTGATTGACAGTGAAATACATAATTGTGTGTGGGACTTTATTTATAGGAGTTTTCGTAACATCAGGTAGAAGCTGAAGCTATTCCCTAGCATAACATAGTACTACTAAATAGGAAAAAAAAAAAAAAAAAAAAAAAAAAACAATATGACAATGAGGATATGATTCTGGGTTACCGGAAAAGCAATTTGGTAAAGGTTATCAACAATGTGTAATTTACGAGGTTAAACTTTTTTTTTTTAATCACTAAATATTCTAAATCAGTTTATACATATTTCATCTAATCTTTTGGAGTAATATTTTAATTAATCTCTAAAGATTTTAAAATTATTGATTAAGTAAGAATTTTACTGACTCTTATTAGTGCGTGTAAAGATTCAAACTTAAAAGCTCTTGAAATTTTATTTTTGCTGGCTGAAGTTAAACTTCTATTGTGAGGCACCTTCCATTTTGAGTCACCAAATTAAGTACATGGCATAGCATGCTGTAACATCCACCAAGAAACAAGTTAAATAATAATAGTGCGTGGAATTTTATCTCTGCCGCTCTTTGCAAGATTGAAGCATATTCTATTTCTGGCAAAACGAAGCGTAGAGGTAATTAACTGTGTTTTTATCCAATCAATTATCTATTAACCACAAATGGTAGGGAAATTGCAGTTACGGTTATCTTTACGCTCAACATGTTCGGTGAAATGACGCAACAAAGACATGACACTGCATCTTCAACTTAAATCTTTTAGTAGCTTCATCCGGTTAGATTTTTGATAAAAGAATCGTACATTCGCTGCATTGGTGTTAAATATATACAGTCTTCATGGTCACTTTGTTTCTATTGTGCTTGTTCAACTAAAACTGTACCTTCTGATTTTGATGGGCTTTGTTTCTATTCCGATAGAATTGGTGTTCGATACATACTTTAGCAAAGGTTTTTCTTTCCATTTTATAATTCAAATTCAGTGCACTTTATAATTCAAATTCAGTGCACTTTCTTCTAGTTTTGGTGCGAGCAATACGCTTGACAAGACTGCCCTTAAAACTTGTTTCTGGTGTTTCAAATTGGGCAGTCTATTTTTTCATTTCAAGGTTTCCAATATCTGAATTTGTTGTTTGGTCTTGCTTAATCTCAGAATGCAGAGACGCTGAATTCAAGTTGTTTCTTCACATTTGAAAGCCAATGGGAAGATTGTTGATCAAGAGTCTGCTCTCAAGTAAATTCCCCTTGGTGGTGAGGTGCTTTTCATCACTAGAACCAAATGTACTCAGAACTGGAGATATCTTAAGACAAACAAGGATATATTCGAGTGAAGATGTTCTTGAATATTCTAAGGTTAGTCAGGACTCCAATCCTCTTCATTTCGATCCCGAATCTGCTAGAACCGCTGGTTTTGATGATCCAATTGTTCATGGGATGCTTGTTGCTGCACTATTTCCTCGGATCATTTCCTCCCATTTTGTAAGTCAATAGTTTAAGTTCCTCTTCACTCTTGATTTTTTTTTTCTTTATTTTTTCTGAATTATACATATTGTCTATCTGAGGATTGACTATTGGGATATGCATATTTTCAAGGGTTTCTGGTTTCTGCTAAAATTTGCGTAGTTCCTTTATATATATATATATATTTTTTTTTTTTATCTGGGCAAATTCGAATTCGGCTGGAAGATCTCTAACGTTCTAATGTTATGGTACTTTGTAGCCTGGAGCAGTATATGTATCCCAAAGCTTGCATTTCAGGTTGCCAGTCTATATTGGAGATAAGATTCTTGGCGAGGTACAAGCTCTTAACATAAGAGAAATCAAGAAGAAATACCTGTAAGCTCACAACACCTAGAGAAGTTTCTCATTTGGTTGAACATTGCTACCGCCACTGACTTGGGTTTTTGTTTGTGTGGTTTAGAGTAAAATTCTCAACAAAGTGTGTGAAGAATGGCGAAATTCTAGTTCTTGATGGTGAGGCAATGACAATTTTACCAACTCTAGCTGTAGATGAAGAACAATCCACGATAGATAGAAACTAGTGCAAAGTGATAATTGCAGGTTTCAATGGCATGATGGTCTATTGCTGAACAGAGTTTTTGGAAGACAGTGATAGATTTCGAGTACCTTCCTCTTCTTTGGCATTCTGTTAATCTCTATCATAATCGAAGCTTAAGAATCTACTCCCAAGGGGGCATCATACATGCTTCCATGAACAGCCTCGAATTAGTTCATTTCTATTATTTATTTAAGCTACGTACCTGATAAGAGACCATGTCTTGTTTTAATCTTACCAAGATGCATCTTTTCATTTTTTTGGTGAAAGTATTTCGCAGTAGTTCCAAAGTAAAACTGAGTTTTTTGCAATATATTTTCCTGTCAATAATATACTTTTATCAAGTGGATATTATAGATAGTATATGTATGGGCCAAAATTCATATTAGACTTGACGAGGTCCAACCGTAACAGTAATAAATGACGGCCCAGAGCCTTGGCCCAATCCCGATTGAACCCACGCTTAGAACACCTTGGGAACTGCCTGCTCTATGAGTTGGGTCATCCCCCGAGTTAAGCTGAATTGGGTTCGGCCCATTCTCCCGTAGTAGTCCATAACAAGGATCAGAATCCTAACAAAACTCCTCTTCCGACAAAGCCTCGACAGATAGAGGCAAAGAATCCAATCTCTTCCCGAAAAGAGAGTTCCCTTACCAAATAGGACTCGAGCCTCCGTGGTTCACTATATAAGCTAAGGTTAGCCTGCCCATAAAGGAGGAGAAAAGATCATTAAAAAACCCTGTTTCTCATATCACCAAACCCATAATCTACTTCAATCCCTTGACATTGCTTGGACTCCCTGAGAGACGCTAGGAGGCACCTCACAGGTCCACTAAGGTTGTCAGTGGCTCTTTTCATAAGATTCAGTCTTCAATTCGATTGTAAATTTTAGTGTTTACAATTTGGCACCCACCGTGGGGCCTTGCCAACCAAACGATCCAGTGCGACCTGTTGTTCAACCCCTCCTAGTCTGTCCGGCTCTCATGGCCAATCCCAACAAAAGTGTAGCGACAGACACTACAACCCAAATCGAAGCACTTATTGCACTGGTGCAGGAAAGCAACAAGAGGTATCAAGCCTTAGAAAAGCAGAATGCCACCATCCGCGCCAAAAATTAAGCTCTCCAGGATAAGGTAAATCAATTTTACTCCCTAGATTGGTCATTCAACCAGCATCATGCATCTACCTCTCGACCCCCTATTCAACCCCGACAACTGTTCCTGAGCCCAAACAGCGACACCTTCACCAGCACCGACAATAACCAAAATCTAGGCAACCCTACAAACGTGGCCGAGCCGAATCAGGAGGAGTATTCCCACGAATCTACCCATCCAACTACCGATCCGGATGACCAAATAGCCTCCTACAAGCAAAGAATGTTTGTCGTCACCATACCAACGGACCTTCACGAAGCATGCATATGCAAAATCTTCGACTCCAACCTAATAGGACCCATGCTACAGTGGTACACCAACCTCCCAAACCACTCCATCGCCTTATTCGCCCAGCTCACGGATACCTTCGTAGAGCAATTCGCTAGCAACAAAAAATTGGAGAAGTTATCCGATGACCTGTACCGAATCTGGCAGCATCGCGATGAGCTCCTACGAGACTACGTGGGACGATTCAACCACAAAAAAGTCTCCATCCCATATTGCAACTAGACCTGGCAAAACGGGTCTGGACCCGTGGGTTGGCCCATACCCAGGTAAAAAATATAGGTTACGGGTCCAATATATTAAACCCATTTTTTGTGACCTGTACCCGATCCAATAAATCACAGTTTATACGGGTGAACCCGCAGGTACCCATATTTGCTAGTCACTATTCAGTTCACTAATGAAGCCCTAATTTTATCATGCATTCATGCCTCTCACTCTCATCTCATCTCTGATCTCTCACTCTTAGTAACTCTATCGCGGCCGCATCTCATCTCTCAGACAGTCAGATTCTCAGTAACTCAAATCTCTCCTGCCTCTCATCTCAATCTCTCATCAGTCTTCTTCGTGCCTGAAGTTCAACTCCCTGTCTCAGTGTCTCCCTCTTCGATTAATCGTCAGTTCGTCACTCGTCAGTCATTCCCATTCCCAGTACCACAGTTGCCGGTCACCGTCACTTATCCTCGTCAGCTGGTAATGAATCCCTAACCCCTAATTTTGTGTGTTTGCTTTTGTTTTTTTGACAGATTTTGTGTTTTCTTTTTTGTTTAAATGGTTAATGTAGGTTACTGGCTTACTACATATTTTGTATGTGTTGAGTGTGTTTGTGTTGTTTTTGTCGAGTGTGTTTGTGTTGGGTTCCCCTGGTTGATGGGTTTTGCAAGTAAAGGAGTTACAAATTTCCAACTCATTACAGATTTCGGAATTTCATCTTTGCAGATTATTACACTGATATAAAGACAGGCTTCCAAGTAAAAGAAACTGTGAAGTGTAGAAGTGTTAGGAAACAACCTGATTGCGCAGCAGAAAACAAAAATTTTACAATCATGGATCGTTCCTTAGAACCCAAAATCAAGGCACAAATTTTACAGTTTATGTATTATATCAAGAATCTGCAGAAAAAGTAAATCCAAAGTTTAGATTCATACCCACGTGGAGGCTCCACATATATTGTCTCTGAACGTGTTTGCTATCNATATATTAGAGGTATTTTTAAAACTTAATCCTTAAGAAACCATGTCTTGCTAATAAAGCAAAAGAAAAAGAAAAAATAGTCTTTATAAAAAAAGTTTGAGTGTGAGAATTCATGATACCATAACGGACTCATAAAAAAAGTCCAGATCTAGTCGTTAATGACAGTCATATCTTGACCATCAACGATCAAATCTTTGGCTGTAGATTTGGCCTTTTATGGTCAGATTCATGGTGGATTTGACCTTTTCTGGCTAGATCCATGGTAGATTTGGCCGAAAAATGCCAGATCAGTGCACGATCGGCTAGATCCAGTCAGTTGTGCACCATTACGATAACTTCCAGCTACCCTTCGATGGTGGTGGCTGGCTTCCGACATTTAATGGACGGATGAGGGTGTTTTTGTTAATTTTTAATGTTTTATTATAGGGGATGTTCAGGTAAATTAACAAATCTATGAGGTTTAAAATAGTTGTATGGAAAATAATTGAATTTTGAGAATAGGGAAACAAATATATATTTTGGGTAGGATAAAAATATGATAGGAAAAAATAATAAAACAAATGGCCAGGGGTATTTTTAAAACTTAATCCTTAAGAAGCCATGTCTGGCTAATAAAGAAAAAAAAAAAAAAAAAAAGACTGTATGATATGAGAAGTACATATTAATTTTATTTGACCTTGATAAATAAAAAAGGAATAATGTTATGCCAACAACCTTTTTCCGTCGTAACAGCTAAGTTGACACTATTATATTAGAATAATTTTGACTATTAAGTTGACGCTATTTTATTAGAATAATTTTGACTAGACTAAAAAAACAATCGTTCCTTCATAGGAAACAGTCATTTCCTATGAATGAATGATAGTTCCTCACGGAATGAATAACTATGATGGAACAACTAAAAGAATGACCGTTCGTAAATAAGGAACAATCATTTCTAATGGAGGGAGGAATTGGTGTTCCTTTGGTTGTTCTCTAAGGACCAACCAAAGGAAAAAAACCATTCCTTTGGTTGTTCCTTCATAAGTAATCTTTGCTCCTTTTGAAGAAACGACTGATCATTTCTAGTAATGCGACCGTTCCTTCTTAAAGTACCACTATTCGTTTCTAATAATGCCTTTGGTGTTTTGGGTGTAATGGGAGCTAACGTGAGTCACGTGACAGTACTAATTTGCTGACATGTTAGGTTATAAGAGAAAGTTGTGAAATTGGTTGTAAATGTAATATTTTCATAAAAAAAGTCGATTTCAAAAAAATATATTAGAGGTATTTTTAAAACTTAATCCTTAAGAAACCATGTCTTGCTAATAAAGCANCCACTGAGTTGAATTCTGTAGAGCTGCTTATTTCAGACAATTAATATCTTCTTGCGGGTTTCAAATAAAATTTCTCTTCTTGTATTGTTTGGTTTCATTTTATGTTTTAGCCTTTTTTGTTGGGAGAACTATGGATTCGTTTCTTATTATAATTTGTGAGATGTTTCATCAGTTGAACACACTGTCTTTAACAAAACCCTGTTGCACATACCTTTAGTAGACACCATGGTGCAAGAGAGAAGGAGGAATCGACCGAACATATTGATAACTGGAACACCAGGAACAGGAAAAACGACGACATCGACTGCTTTAGCAGAGTCAACACAGCTTCGCCACATAAACATCGGGGATTTGGTAAGAGAAAAAAAATTACATGACGGCTGGGATGATGAGCTCGAGTGCCACATCATCAATGAAGACCTGGTATTAAAGATTTCAACCCATAAATAATCAAGCTCTACATATTTTAACATTATTTTATATAGTTTATCTCATTGGTTCTTTTGTTATTTATTTTATTTTTTAGGTATTTAACAAAATCGTTGTTTACTTTGCTGGTGCTAATGATATTTAAATGAGTTGTTATAATGTGATTATCAAAAATTAAAAATAATTTAGGTGCTCAGTAAGATTTCCATTTTCAGGGAGATTCTATGAGTTTCAGAATATGTTGATGATTTTCACTGGATAACATTTGCCCTTCAGAAAAATAAAATGAAATTTGCTAATTGATTTGAAGTATAGTTTTTGAGCAAGTTGTTGTTTTTGCAATCCTTCTAGGTATATCTTTTTTCCTTTTGACTGTTTTTGATGCCACTAGTAACTGACTCATAATAATCATTTACGGAATCAGTCATATGCATTGATTATCGATTAGTGGATCTGAACAGAGGAAGGACATCAGTTTATTTAATTACTCAACTACAGATTTCTTTATTTGACTGGTAAAAGCATCAAATTGTATTCCGTGGACTTTGCAGGTGTGTGATGAACTTGAGGATTTAATGGAAGAAGGTGGTAATATTGTGGATTACCATGGATGTGATTTCTTTCCTGAGCGATGGTTTGATCGTATTGTTGTGCTTCAAACTGAAAATTCTGTTTTGTATGATCGTTTGACTAGGAGGTAGCTCTTCTTATGTTCATGTGACTGTTCTTTTAGTTTTGTTACTTGGGATATTTTCTGAATTCTCAAGAACTGCTTTTGTGGCAGAGGTTACTCTGGGGCTAAGCTTTCCAACAATATTGAATGTGAAATCTTTCAAGTTTTGCTGGAGGAGGCAAAAGAAAGTTATCCAGAGGATACTGTCGTGGCTTTGAAGAGCAATACCATTGAGGATATCACTACAAATGTTGCAACTTTGAC